CTTTAATCGTTCTTTTAATATAAAGATGACTATTTCTTGCAAAGCTTTTAGTATAATAAACGTTTTTTTTTGCTAAGCTTCGTAAAGCACCGTTTTGATCTTTTAAAATAGCATAACTTCTTTTCGAATTTAATTAAAATAAGTAAAATCTTAAGCTATCGCTTCTTTTCGATTTAAAAAGCATTAATAAAGCAGCTCTTTTTTTTTCGAAGTAATTTAAAAGCTAATCGTAAGTGCTTCGAATCGTTCTTTCGTTAATCTTAATTTAACTTTTAAGTTTAAAAACTTGCTAATAAAATATTTCGAAAAAAGTCTTTTAAGTTTAAAAAGTCTCGCTTTCTTATTTTGCTTAAACTAATCGTCGATTTTTTTAAGTATCTTTTTATCCGATACTTTTAAATCTATCGGTTTAACTTTTTCCGCTTTCTTTTTGTATATCGTATTAACTTCTATTATATTCTTTTTTAAAAAGTCTTTGTCGTTATCGATAATAAATATAAAATTTTCCGATTTATCGAGTTTGATTATAAATATTTTTAATATTTTTAATTTTAATAAGCTTTGCTTAATATTAAATTAAATTATTTTTTTATGATTTTATTATTTTTATACCGATCTATTTGTAAATTATAATTCACGGGCGGAATTTCTTTTTAAGCTTTTTTCTAACTTAATATCTATCTTAGCTTGTATACTAGTTATTAATTTCTTAAGTTTTCAACTAAATCCGACTTGTCTTTTATAATAATAATTTATTTTTAAGTAAATCGATCGTAGTTTTAAAAAAAAGCTTTTATCGTGCTATTATCGAAGTAAGAAAAAGAAAGTTAAAATTTTAAAAAGAAAAGCATGCTTAAGATGACTTCGTAATTGCTATTATTAATAATAAAGAAATCGGCGTAATTAATAATTCCGCCGATAGTAACTTCGACGTCGTTTATTTATTTATCGAAGTTATAAAGATCTTCGAATACGATAATATAAACTAAAGCTCGATCCGTTATAATAAATAGTTTAATTATCTTAGCTACTTTTTTATTTATTACGTTGACTTTAAATCCGTTATCGAAAAAGGATTTGTTTTTAATTATACCGTCGATATTAATAAAAACTTTTAAAGTCTTTATCGCTACTTCGAAGCAATTGCGAGCGATAAGTTATTTGCGAATTTGCGTCGTTAAAAAGTCTAGCTTGCTTTTTTTATTTCGATTTAAACGTTTAATAATTAAAGCGTTTATAAGAATAAGCTTACTTTAAAAGACTTTTACGTTTTCTTTAATATCGAAAACTATTAAAATATAATAGCTTAATAGCTTATTAAAGCGAAAGCTAAGTCCGAACAAATCTTTAATCTAAACTTCGATTCTTGATTTTATAATCGCCGTTATTGTTTTTTCTTAAGCTTTAATAATAACGTAAAAGTTAATAAATTTCTTTCGTTTATAAGTCCTTTTCTTCTTTCTTTTTAACATTCGCTAAGTGATTTCAACTTTTCTTTTTATATCTTTTATAGCTTCGTCGGCTTTAATTAATTTAAAAAGTCTAAAAGACTTTTTTTTAATTACATTATCGAACAACCCGTTTTTTAAATCTATTTTTATAGCAATATCCGATTCTTAAAAAGCACGGGCTTTAAAAGTGCCGTAATTCTTTTCTTTTTGTTATCGGATATTTTTTTTAATTTTAATAAGCTTAAATCTTTTCGAAAGTAAAAGAGACTTTTTAACTTTATCTTTTGCGATAACGTTAATTTCGATCGAAGCAACTTTTATGTTAGATAAGTAGTTAAGCGTATTAATTTATTTTATAGCGTTGATATTTTTAATATCGACTAGTCTTTTAAAAATAATAATAAGCTCTTTTAGCTAGTTAATTAATTGCTAAGCATTTTGATCGAGCTAGTATTAAGCTAGCTATTAAATTAGTTGTTGATAAAAGAGCAAGTGTTTATAAGTCTTAAGTCCGCTAGTAAGTCGATTTTTTAAGATGTTATTGTATTCCGTTTTACGAACGTTTAAAACGATAGATTTAAATTAAGTCTTTTTTTGCTTTTTTTAAATAATAAAAGCGCCGATCCTTTTAAGCTTTAAGCAAAAGCGTCCGTAATCATTAATGTAAATATATCTTTTATTAATTATATCTTTAAAAGCTTTATATTTATCTCGATATTAATAAAGAACTTAAGTTGTGTTTTCTGAGTTCTTGTAAAAGCTATAATCTTGCATTTAATTCTTGTATTTTTTACTTTCTTTTCTTTTTCGTTTTTATAATCCGTAATTGATAATAATAATTTAAACTTTACTTTCGAAGCTAATTTTATTTCGAGCATCTTAAACGGTATATTTAATAAAAGCTTCGTCGCGGTTTTCGAATCGAACTTAAAGTTGAAATTAAATAAAGCGTCGAGAAGTTAAGTTAACGACTTAGTTTTCGAAGTAATTAATTCGATTATAAATTGTATTAATCTGTAAGTTAGAAAACTTTTTAATTATAAAACTTACTTTATTAATTTCTTTTTTTTCACTTGTGAACCGTAGTTTACGAATGAACGGCACTATTATTAAAGCTTTTTTAGCAGACTTAAGAACGCTAGTTAATTCGATGTGTTTTTTAATTAAAATTCGAATATTTTTAATAAAGTTAATTAAAAAAGACTTTTTTCGATTTATAGCTTCGATAATCTTAGTACTTTAATCGGTTTTAAAAGCGAATACGGTAAAGTCGTCGAAAGCGGCATAAGAATTTAAATCGAGTTCGTCGACTTTATAATGCTTGATCGTTTTGTTTCGGATTTCGACGAGCAATCTAAAGAAAAATAAGCGGCTTTGTTCGGTCTTATTTAAAAAGTGCATTGAAGTAAGCCTTTCGAAGACTCGAAAGAAAGTGCGATAATAGTTTTTCAAGTTATTAACATTTTGTTCTTATATAATAAATTCTCGTAAAAAAGCGATTAAGTCTTTGATTTGTTAAGTATCGTTTTTACGAAACTCGGCTCTTAAAGCTTTAACGAAAGCAGCTTAATTTTTCTTAGCTTTTTATTCGAGCAAGCTTTTAATAACCTTTTTGCGAAAGTTATCGCAATAACGGAAGAGCTTAATAAACCGATTATCTTTAAAGATACTAAAGTTATTATAAGTCTTTTCGTACTTTTCGATAAAATCGATAATATTAGCATTATTAAAGCAAGAAGCTTTTAAAGCACTTAGCAATAGTATACGAGTAGTTATAAAAGCGTAAAAGATAGCAAGGTCGATTATAACTAGCGCAAAGCTTAGTAGAAAGATAAAAAAAGCAAGAAGAAAAAGAGTAGTATAGATTTTAAAACCGGTATTTATTTTAAAAAACATTTCCGAAACAAGTGTTTCCGATAAAAGTAGCGGTAAAAGTTTAAGTTAAAAGTTGAAGTAAAATGAAAATAGTCCGAAGCTTATAAGAATACGATTAAAAGATTTAATAAATTTAAAAGATTTTAACGAAAAGAGAAGTGACTTTGCGCTAACTTCGATATTAAAAATCTTAAAAAGGTTTTCGGTATTTTAAAGATTAGATATGTATATATGTTAAAAAAGATCGGGTTGATAAAAAGTTTTTAAATTGTTTGATTTTAACTCGTGAACCGAGTTTACGAGTAAAATAAGCGATTTTCGCAAAGTATTTTCGATCCGAAATTAAAAAGAGTAGACTTTATACAAAAGTAAACTAATGATTAAGATTAAAATTATAAAAAACTTAAGAATCAATTAATTAGCTTCGCTAATAACTCCGGACTATGTTAATTGCTTTAATTCAAGATGAGAGTTAAAGTATAAAAAGGTATTTTTACTAATAAGTGAAAATTCTTTTTTATTAATGTAGTGCTTATTAGCATTAAGATCAAGAGGAGATTCTATAAATTGAATGAAGCTTGGTATATTTTATTTAAAAAGCTCGTTAAGATCTATGTATATGTACTTAAGAGCTTTAATATGCTAAAAGCGTTATTAAGCGAAGTCATATGATATGTTATATATAATTTAAGTGGAATTATGCTTGTTTTGTATAACATACTTTTTAAGTTAGCAGCGTAGCTGTTAAGCTGCAAGCAAATAAAAAAAAAAAATAAGTGATTAAGCTTTTTAAACTCGATGTAAATAAAAGAGATTGTTATCGTAGTTTAAATAAACAAATAGCGGTTGTTATTATTAATTAAGTATCAGTTAAGAATGCAATTCTTTTTTAAGTCGGTCTTATTACGTAGCGGAAGTCTTTAACGTCGTTTTTGTCGCGTTGTTATATAAATAAAAGCGCGTTCTTTTTTATTATAATAAACACTTAACCTTTATCTATTTACATAATACTTTTTAAGCAAGTAACTTAGTCTAATAAAATCGTTAAGCGCGGCCGAAGCCGTTTAAAAGTAAGTGCTTTTAATAGATTAATATATTTATATTAACTATTAAAAGAATCTTTTCTTTGCTTTAGTTATTACTATTGCTATAGCTGCGGCGGCTGCGGCGGTTATATTACGCACTTTTACTTTCGAAGCTTCGCTTTTTCTTTTAAACCTTTTTATTAAGCGCTTGCTTATGCTAACGATCGTTAAAGCTTTAAAGTGCATTAAGTGTATTAATAATAAGATTATATCGAAGTTTAATAAAGACTATTATAATTGCGATACGAGCGTTATTCGCTATCTCCGGTGTGCTAAGAGTAGTTATAATAACTGCACCGCTGCTTTTATCGTTGCTAATACCGCTTTCGATAACTTCGTAAGCGCTAAAGATAATAATGTTATATAAAAAGTTCGCCGGAGTCTTCGAGATGTTATGCGATAACAGCTCGCTTTAAATGCTGCTTTTTTAAAAGGTGCTGTTAATAATCCGAGCGGTTTAACGAATAAAAGTAAAAGTTTTAAAAGTAGTTTCGATAGCTTTATAAGTTTTGCTTTTGCTTTTAAGACTTTTAATTTGAATATAGCTTTTATTAGATTAAATAGTCTTATAGCAGCGAATTATAGTCCGATGACGCGGAGCGCTTCGAGCATATTACTTTTTCGTAAGTCAAGCTTTTTGACTTACGAAATGATTTAATTTAAATAGCTTTTTTTAATTAAAACTTCTTTTCGGACTTTATGCAAAAGCTTTAATCTGCTATTATAACAGCTTTTGCGCTTGCGCTAGCCGCTCTTTTTGCTTTCGTCGCTTTCGTTGCTCTTATCGCTTTCGTAGTTTCCGTCGCTTTCGTCGCACTTATTATCGTCGCTCTTTTTGCGTTAATCGTTGCGCTTGCCGCTCTCGCGGCGGCGCTCGTTGTTGCTATGACTCTTGCGAAGCGCCGAATTAAAGTAAAGAGATTGCTAAAAGCTTTAGTCGATCTTTTGTTATAAAAAGCGAAAAGTAAAAGCGTATAAGATAAGATAAAATAACAATTAAGATTGTTAAATAAATGTTTTCTTTTAAATTACGTGCAAATAAAAAAAAATGAAATGTAATAAGTAAATAATATATGCGTGCTATTAAAGCTTTTCGATTAACGCGCGAGCGTCTTATAAATTTAAAAGCTTAATAAAGCTTTTAAACTTTTATCGAGTTAAGTTTTTTATAAGACCGTTAGCGTGCATCTTTTTAATAAAAAGATATTAAACTTGAAAGTTCTTTTTAAAATGCTTTTAACGCAGTTATATATTATAAATATCGACGTAACGAAGCTTGATAAAGATACGCTTTTTTCTATTAGCTATAAGCTTAATTGTTTATTAATTATTATAATAGATTATTTAAAGCGCCGTAAAACGAAGGTACAGCTTTTTAAAAAACCGTTAAAGCGCTATAGTCTTTTTTATTATAAAGGCTATGCTAAGAAGCTCCGCTTTAATAGATAATATAATAATTGTATTTTACTTTAAAGCTTTTTAAAAGATCGTACCTTCGAACAAAAACATAATATACTTTTAAAAAGATCGCTTTATTTTTTCGTTATCGGCGTAAGAAGCGTTAAAAGTTATTATTAGCTTTGATTTGCTAAACTAGCTGTATTAAATACTTTTGAAGCGCGAGCTAAATAAATATCGCAGACACTAGTTTATAGTTCGAAAGTGCTCCGCGCTTAAATTAATATTAAAGTGAAAAAGTTAAGAAGCTGTAAAAGCTATATTTAAGCGTAGCATGATCGCTATATATAGCACGGATTTAACTTTCTTTTAATATTCTTTTACTTGCTTTCGCGAAGCTATCTTTTTATTTTTAATTAAGTTATAAAAAAGTAATAAAGTTATTAAGTAGCGTCCGTCCGTAAGTTCGAATTTTTTAATTATTTTTTTAATATAAGCGTTGTACATAAGCGTTAGCGTTCTTCGCTAACGGTTTCGAGCGACTTTTATATTAAAAAACTATTTAATATCTTTTATCGCTTCGATCTTATACGCTTTATTAAGATCGTTAATGATCTTTTACGCTTTAAAAAGATTAAAGTAATAATATATAAGTTGAAGATCGTTTACGTAAAACGCTATAAAGACCGTTTTATTTAGATTCGTAAAAATACACGGTTCTTTATCGAGTAATATAAGCTTTAATTTGTCGAGTATGCTTATAAAGTCGAAATACTATAAAGCTAGCGAGTCTTTAAGTTTATATAAAGCTTTATCGACTTTTACGAGCATATCTTTTTGCTTAAAACCGTTAAAAAGATAACACGTAATTAAAACGCTATTCGTATGTCTTATAACGTTGATAAAAGCGTTAACGATATCGAATTGTTTTACTTTTAAGTTAAATTCGACTGTTATAGCTATTATAATTTTAAAAGATCTAGCTATTAGCGTAACCGCGTAAGTTGAATAAATAATAAATTCGTTTTAAAAGTCACTTTTAATAACAATCTTCGATTTAAACTTTATAATCTTTTCGAACGAGCTAGTCTTATATATAAATACTTATTTAAAAAGTATAAGTTTTGATTTAACTTCGCTTTCGAAAATCACTTTTTAGCAGTTTTTTTTTTTAAATTATTTAGCTTTATAAAAGCTTCGTTTTTAAACTCTTTGCTATATAAGTGTCGTTATAGCTCTTTTTAATAAGTAAAAGGTTTTAAATGTTTTCGTTTTTGCGAATTAAGCTGTTTTAATAATAGCTTAAACAAAGTAATAGCTATTATAATAGCGTGCAATATCTCGTAATCTTTATTATCTTCGCGTACGAGTTCGCTATTAGCTTAAAAAGTCGATATAAAATCTAAAACGCGCGAATAGCGGTTCGAATCGGCGCGAAAGTTGTTTAAGAGAAGCTTATTAACACTTGCGTATATCTTCGCGCGTTTTTTAATACGGCTATTAATAAGTAAATGCTTTTTATTAAAGTCGGAATTTTGTTTAAAATGTTTATAATTTAATTTCTTATTATTAATGCTCGCTTTAAAAAGGTTTAAAAGCTTTTCTTTAATTGTTCGATTTGAATTTCCGTCGGTTATTAACGTAAAAGCTTTCGTTAGTCGGCTTATAGCTTAGCCTTTCGAGCTTTAGCTTTAAATAACAACTTAAAAGTATAATTTGCGCGCTTTCTTATTAAAGCCAAGTTTTTGCTTATTTACGATGCTTTTCTTTGCTTTTAACAGTCTTAAAGCACTTTCGCTTTTGCTTTTAATTAAAGAGCTAGCGAGACGTTTAACGGTGTAATTCGAATCGTTAAGATTTATTAAATCGTTTCGTAAAATAATTGCTTTTAATATAAACGTATTTATAAAGTCTTTAATTAAAGTTAAAGCTTTTAACGTTTATGTATCGCTCGAATTAAATAAAGTCGTATTCTTTAAGCTTTAATTAAATCCTTTTAAGTTAACCTTTATAAAGTCTAACGGCTAGTTACCTTTTATATTAATTGCATTCGTCTCTTTTAAGCGATCTTTTATAATGTTTTTTATGTTAAACAAAGCGTCTTTTGTTTAATTAAAGTTTTTAATATCTTTTAGTTTAATAACGATGCTTTTGATCTCGTTAATCGGTTAGCCGACCGATTTTTTTTCGTCTTTAAAATAGAATTAAGTTTTATCGAACGTTACGTTACGTGTAATAATCACTTTATAAAGCATAAAAACATAGACTTTATATATATTAAAAGCTATATATTTAATTAAGTAATTTATATATTTTTTTAATTTAATTTTAAAAGCTTTTTTATTACGAAAAGCTTTTCGGTCTTTAATCATTAAGTACGTACGAGCGCTATACGCAACTAAACCGCTATAATCTAGTCTTAAGTCGGTGTCGATTCGTATAAAGATCGCCGGATCGTACTATTTAAAATATTGCTTAAATTAAAGCTATAGCATTCTATTCGGACTTTTTATAAAGCTTTTCGCTTTCGATATTATATTATAAAAGTAGATAGCGGTTAATATAGTTTCAAGCTAGAGCTTTTTTAAAAGCTTTGCTTTTACTTTTATTTTAATAGACCGTTCTATCATTTCTTTTTTAACCTTCTCGGCTTTTTTATTAAGTTCGTGATTAAAAGATAATAAGAGCTTTAATTCGATCTTAACCTTTTTCGCTTATTTTTAATATTCGGTAAAGCTGATAACGTTGATTGCGATTATCGAAGAATCGTTATTATAGCGTATAATAGCTATTGAAAGACCGTATTTGCGTTTCGTTTATGCTTTAAATTCCTTTAATACTTTTATAACCGTCAATTGCAATTTGTCTTTTAATATAAAGCCGAATAGCTTTTTATTATATTTATCTTTAATTATTAATAATTATTTGCTTTCGTTAAAACCGTTAAAAAAGTTGAATAGATCTTAAGCGATCTTATAGAATAGCTTAACTGCTTTATTATTTAACGTGCGGCGAAATATGACTTGTTAAGCGTGCGTAATAACATATGCTTTATATTTAACTTTAATAATTCTTTTAAGTCTTACTTTTTTAGCATTATAAGCTAGCGCTTCGAGCGCTTTTTTACTTAAATAACTTATTCGTAAATGCTAAAGTACCGATAAATCTTTTTTTAAAGCTCGGAAAACACTGCTCTTTTAAAATTTATAGCGTGTTTGTAAGCGCTTTTAAGTTGTAAGGAATATCATTAAGCAAAAAGAGCTACGAATTAATTAAAGCAAAGAATAATTAAATAGCTTATATTTAAAGAACGTAAAGTTGAACTTCTTTTTTAACTTTCTTAATACGACGTTTTCTTTAACTTTTTCGTAACGGAGAATTGCGTTATATCTCGAGTATTATACGCTAGCCTTGCTTAAAAGAGCTTCCGAGATAATATTAATATTAAACCTTTTAATAATAACGACGTTTTTTAACTTTAAATCCTTTATCTTAGCTTTATTTAATCCGTTTAAAGCTCTTTTAAAGACTTTAGTACTTCGTTCGACGATTAAAAGATTACTCGTTTTAGCTTCGATAAAGTCGGTTAAGCGAGAGCGTTGAATTGACTTTAGCTTTAAAAGATTCTTATCGTTAATAAAGTAAATAGCGCCGTAATTATCGAGAAGAGTGCTATTAAATAGCTAATGCTTATTATTAACCGTATTATAAAGATCGTTAAAAGCAAGATTATCGAGCGTGCTAAAGAGCTTAAGATCGATAATAGCTATTAATACTTTTTTAAAGTATTTTAACTTATCGTTATTATTCGATTGCTTCTTTTTGCTTTTTAAAACGATCTTATCGATTTAAATTTATGCTTAACTTTCTTTCGTAATCTCTTTTTAAAGCGCTTTAAACTTAAGCTTTTAAAGCTTTTTTTTTATAGCGACGATATTATCTCGGTTCGGCTTTGCGAATCTATTTTCGTTAAGACCGTTAAAGCAATAGCGAAAGATCTTGCACTTGATTACGTTTTAATAATAGTTTCTTTTTTTAAAGCACGAGCACTTAAAACTTTTAGCAAGTTTTTTAAAGCTATCGGAGCGTTTATCGGATTGTTTAAAAGCAGTATCGTTAGCTTTATTACTTTCGAAAGTATTACGAGTAGTTTGATCTTCGAAAATAGCGAATACGTTAAAGAAGTTAAAGTTCGGATTGCTAATTTTCTTTTCGACTTAGCTTTCGTATTAATTAAAGTAATCGTAAAAGATGCGCTTTTAAAGTAATAACAGCTCGTCGTTTCGAATGACTTTTACGAGCTTTAACGACGCTTAAGTTAATAATTATTTTTCGCTAATAGCTTTTAAGAATACTTTTGTCGCGAGTATATTCGTCGTTTCGTAAAAGTTATTCATTTTCGTTAACTTATAAATAGCTCGATGTTCTTTAATTTATACCGCTAAAGAGACGCTCTTTTGCTTAACTGCTTGTAAAGATTTGTTATAATCTCGTGCTATCGATAGCTTAAAGCTTAAGTCGGATAAACGGTATATTTCTTAAAGTTTTTTTATTAA